GCTGCCCCGCTCCTCCACCACCACCAGTTGCTGCTACGCTCCTCCACCACCACCTGTTGCTGCCACGCTCCTCCACCACCACCAGTTGCTGCCCTGGTCCTCCACCACCACCAGTTGCTGCCACGCTCCTCCACCACCACCAGTTGCTGCCACACTCCTCCTCCACCACCAGTTGCTGCTACGCTCCTCCACCACCACCTGTTGCTGCCACGCTCCTCCACCACCACCACCAGTTGCTGCCCCGCTCCTCCACCACCAGTTGCTGCCACGCTCCTCCACCACCACCAGTTGCTGCCCCGCTCCTCCACCACCACCAGTTGCTGCCCCGCTCCTCCACCACCACCAGTTGCTGCCCCGCTCCTCCACCACCACCAGTTGCTGCCCCGCTCCTCCACCACCACCAGTTGCTGCCACGCTCCTCCACCACCACCAGTTGCTGCCACGCTCCTCCACCACCACCTGTTGCTGCCCCGCTCCTCCACCACCACCAGTTGCTGCCACGCTCCTCCACCACCACCAGTTGCTGCCACGCTCCTCCACCATCACCAGTTGCTGCCCCAATATAATTGGGTATATTTGACCAGTGTAGAGCAGCAGCAGCAGCAGCAGCAGCGGCAGCAGCAGCAGCAGCGGCAGCAGCAGCGGCAGCAGCAGCGGCAGCAGCAGCGGCAGCAGCAGCAGCAGCAGCGGCAGCGGCAGCGGCAGCAGCAGCAGCAGCAGCAGCAGCAGCAGCAGCAGCAGCAGCAGCGGCAGCAGCAGCAGCAGCAGCGGCAGCAGCAGCGGCAGCAGCAGCGGCAGCAGCAGCAGCGGCAGCAGCAGCGGCAGCAGCAGCGGCAGCAGCAGCGGCAGCAGCAGCAGCGGCAGCAGCAGCGGCAGCAGCGGCAGCAGCAGCGGCAGCAGCAGCGGCAGCAGCAGCAGCAGCGGCAGCGGCAGCGGCAGCGGCAGCGGCAGCGGCAGCGGCAGCGGCAGCGGCAGCGGCAGCGGCAGCAGCAGCGGCAGCAGCGGCGGCAGCAGCAGCAGCGGCAGCAGCAGCGGCAGCAGCAGCGGCAGCAGCGGCAGCAGCGGCAGCAGCGGCAGCAGCAGCAGCTGCCGCCGTTGAAGGGATTCATGTAAGGCTTCACCACAAGGTACAGTATATATTGAACTGTAATGCCAATCCTGACCTCAAAAGCTTCATAGAAGGTTGTAACAGAACCCATGAGCACCACACCAGAAATAAATACAGTTTTGATATTCCTAGAGTACGACTTAATCAAACTAGAAATGCTCTACAAATCAAGGGGCCCAGAATGTGGAATGACCTTCCCAACCATGTTAAAGACTGTACCTCTCTCAACCAGTTTAAGATAAAAACGAAGCACTACCTAATAAATTCCCTGTAACCTACCTTACCCTTCTATTGTCAACCAATGTCTGTTTTTTTAAACAACGCTGTTTGTCGACCTAATTGTATTTGTGCTGCTTTTTCAGCTATGTTTCCCCCTTTTTTATTTTTATTTTTACTTGTTCTCAACACATTTTATACTTTAAACTCAATTAGTATTAAGTTTTTGTCATTAATGTTTTTCCTGCCCGAAACGCTTTGCGTAATAGTGGCTTTAGGCATTGTATGTACTAGCTCTATCTATAAATCCATCAAGTTTTGTAAAATCTCTTGAATGTATGTACCTTACCTGAATAAACATTTATTTATTATTTATTATTATTATTAATTATTTTATTGTCTCAACTTGACCAAGAGTAGCAAGCTACTATACAAGGCCACTTGCTGGCGTCTTCCTCCTCTGCTCCAGCCATCATAGTCTACTAAAACAACCACTAATGTTACCACCAAAACAGTCACGACAGCTACCACATCCACTATCACAGAGGAGATATGATCACGTCATACAAGGTACTGGATGAACTAGACAAGGTGAACAAAGATAGACTATAAATTGACAGGTGGAACGAGAAGACCCAGAAGGAAGCTGGAAGAGCATATGGAAGACAAAATACTGGAATGACAAGAAAGTTAAACTGAAAGAGGAGATGTATAACGAGGTGATTGAGGCGAGGTATAACGAGGGAGAGATTATATGGTCGTTAAGCGTGTGTGTTAGGTGGGTACAGCCTCCCTCCCTGTCACTCATCCTGCCCTGTAGGCTCCCTCCCTGTCACTCATCCAGCCCTGTAGGCTCCCTGTCACTCATCCTGCCCTGTAGGCTCCCAGTCACTCATCCTGCCCTGTAGCTCCCTCCCAGTCACTCATCCTGCCCTGTAGGCTCCCTGTCACTCATCCTGCCCTGTAGCTCCCTCCCTGTCACTCATCCAGCCCTGTAGGCTCCCTGTCACTCATCCTGCCCTGTAGGTTCCCAGTCACTCATCCTGCCCTGTAGCTCCCTCCCAGTCACTCATCCTGCCCTGTAGGCTCCTAGTCACTCATCCTGCCCTGTAGCTCCCTCCCAGTCACTCATCCTGCCCTGTAGGCTCCCTCCCAGTCACTCATCCTGCCCTATAGGCTCCCAGTCACTCATCCTGCCCTGTAGGCTTCCTCCCAGTCACTCATCCTGCCCTATAGGCTCCCTCCCAGTCACTCATTCTGCCCTATAGGCTCCCTCCCAGTCACTCATCCTGCCCTATAGGCTCCCAGTTACTCATCCTGCCCTATAGGCTCCCAGTCTCTCATTCTGCCCTATAGGCTCCCTGTCACTCATCCTGCCCTGTAGGCTCCCTCCCAGTCACTCATCCTGCCCTGTAGGCTCCCTGTCACTCATCCTGCCCTGTAGGCTCCCTGTCACTCATCCTGCCCTATAGGCTCCTTCCCAGTCACTCATCCTGTCCTATAGGCTCCCTCCCAGTCACTCACCCTGCCCTATAGGCTCCCTGTCATTCATCCTGCCTTATAGGCTCCCTGTCACTCATCCTGCCCTATAGGCTCCCTGTCACTCATCCTGCCCTATAGGCTCCCTGTCACTCATCCTGCCTTATAGGCTCCCTGTCACTCATCCTGCTCTATAGGCTCCGTCACTCATCCTGCCCTTTAGGCTCCCTGTCACTCATCCTGCCCTATAGGCTCCCTGTCACTCATCCTGCCCTATAGGCTCCCTGTCACTCATCCTGCCCTACAGTGAAGCTGGTCGGTTCCTACCCTGTAATTGGGGCCGAGCCTGTTGTGTCAGGAGCCCTCCCTGGCACTGCATCTGATCACTGAAGATTAGTTAGATTTGGGCATGGTCAACATGACCTCATACCTTAGGTGGGTGCCCTAGTTGTTCCCAGTCCCAGAGTGGGACTCGACAAACTTACAGAAATCACTTGGGTCTGAACAGCTTCATTCACTGCTCGACTTTCCACGTGACCACTTTGGCCCAAATTCACCTGCTGTTATAGGCTACGGCTTGGATGATGTCCCTGGACCTCATAGATGCATACTGGCATGTACCCTTGCACCTGGGGTTCAGGAAGTGGCTAGGTTGTTGCGAGTAGGGGTTCGAGTGCTGGCCTACCTTGATGGCTGACTGGTGTGGGCCCCAAGTTGGTCTGCATGTCAGCTGACCAGGGATCTAGTTCTATCCCAGGCATGCCAGGCTTGGGGTTCCTGGTGAACTGGAGGAAGGCCCAGTTGGTTCCATCGTGAGCTTGGACTTGGCTGGACTTTGTTTGAGACTGTCAATTTCTCTGTCTCTGCCTCCTGTAGCTTTGCTCTGCCTGCAGCTGTGTCATTGTCTTGTGTTGGATTGACCCCGGGTGACTTGTCACTTGATCAAGCAGTTGTGTGAGAGCCTTAACTTGGCCTGCATTATGCATCCCCTGGGCCAAGGTTTTAGTATATTTTCATTTTTTCCATAGTGCAGTAACTGGAACTTATCCTCATTAAACATTATGTTATTTTCTGTGGCCTACTGAAAGACTTGATTAACATCAGACTGGAGGTTTGCTGTGTCCTCTATATTGCCTACTCTCATGAAAATCTCATGGCAGAGAAAAACTTTTCTCTGCCACGAGGCAAGATGCTTCTCATTGTGCAGTTACGGCAGGCATACATGCTCAGCCTAACACTGGCTCTCTTGCCCTCTACACACAGATGCAATGAACTACCTTCAAGCAAAACCAATTAGGATTCATAGGTCTGCATGTGATGTGATATGGCACAGTCCTCGGCATAACTGTAGCACGAAAAGGCCATGCACTGCTGGTACGCAAGATATGCTTCGTCTCCCCTTCCTTAGTTTATGGTCCTAATCAGGAGGCTGACTTTTGGCTCTTTCACCACACATTACAGCAGAATATATCTCCTCGAGACCACCTCCCCCCCCCTTCCCCTCTCACTGGTGTAGTATGAGGAAATGTCATGTGGTAAATGACCTCCTTTACATAATCCATTAACAGATGTCCCACGCAAGCCCGTACTGTAGTTGATATTTGCACACTCTGAGATGAGAGCTTTCACAAGACACCTGCTATGACAGGTAACCGGATCAGAAATGGAAATACAGTACTGTAGGTTGGCCGTTCATGCCATTCTGCACAAATCTACCAATCCATCTAGGAGAAGGGTTAAGCTGTGAAAAATCACCCCGCCACCCCCCCCCCCCCTCACAACCATAAATATAACAATGTGTCCTTTTTCCCTAATTTCCCAAATAAGCCGTCCTAGACCATACATATGCAGTCTTAGGCCAAATTTAGTAAATGTATGTATATATATATATATATATGTACAATACTACACCTAGAAAATGTTAGCTTTAGTTACCTTTTTATCATGTCCTCTACAAAATTAATACGTAGTACAAAACCTAGATTTTTCTTGGGTGCAACATTTCATATTTTGTATATTTCATTCACAGTTTTGAATGGCAGGTATGAGAATTGTGCCCAAACCAGAAAAAAAAACATGAACAGCCTCATCACTGCATGATAGTAGACCTAAGACTTATACCATCCAAACACAATAGGAAAGTACAAAAATGATAAGAACGATAATTAAAAAAAAAAACGGGTTTTCTCATACTCACGTGAAGACGACTGAGCAAGCTGGGGTCTGTGCTGGAATTGCCGCTCTGCTTTGCTGCTTTCCAGAATTGTTTCTGGGCTGAATACCGGTTGCTGGGGCAGATGCTGAACAAGCAATCTGGCACAAAAGGAAACCTTAGCACATGCCTCAACATAATACTACCTCTTGACAATTACTGTACACTGACACCCCCAAAATACTGAACATCCATATAATGAACACATCTAAATACCAGAGAGATTTGCTACTGGATCGCCAACTGAATATTTAAACAGTAAATATTGTTTGAGAACTGAATACAGTTAATTTGTAACTTATTTTCTGTGGGTGGCACAAAGCTATCACAGAAGATATTGTCCAGGCCAAGTGTGATCTTTTTCATCTGTACTGCCGGAGTTTACTCAAACATTTTGATCGCTTTTTCATTTAATAATTATCTATGTAGAAAAGATGTCTGGTAGATAGTGTGGCTTGAAGAGGTAGGAGAAAAAAACAGGCATTATAATGTGAATGAAATTCTGCCAGTTGAGTGTGCGTATGATTTCAAGTGCCATCTCTCAAACATATTCATGGATATTTATGAATTTTTCTGTTGACATTAATTACTTGAGTAAAAGATGCCTATCAGTAAGAGTAGTCTGGCAAGACCAGGTAGGAGGAGCAAGAAGAGGAGTCAGATAACACATGGGAACTCACCAGGGAGAAGGAGGAAGCACAACAGGAGATATGACGAAGATGAAACTCCTGGCCGAGACACATGACCCAAAGGCACACGAGTATACCAAGGCCCAGGAACAATCGCCAGGTACCAGGCCGTCAGAACTCGGTTCGACTTCAGAAACCCCAGCACCCAAATATCAGCCCAAGACATGTATGCGAGCAACACCAAAAGAGTGGCATACATCCCAGCATCATGGGCATGAGGGTAGACCGCAGGCTGGCCAGACTCAATAATGCTGCAGATAACCGAAGAAATACGAGCCTTGAACATGGGGAATAAGGAATCAGGATCAACCAACAAGGCATCCACCAAGAAAAAATGAGACTCTGTGGCATGAAGGTAGCAGTGGGGAGCCACCACTGGACACAGCACCTCATGCAATTTGTTCTTTGCTAGAAAAGGAGCAGCTCACTGCACTTGTAGAAACAAGCACGGACCAAAGGAGGGAACATACAATGAAAAGGAAAGAAACGCATGAACATGGTCCAGAGACTGAGCAGTCCCAGGCAGCACATGAGCAGGTCAGAGTGAAACAAGGAGTAAGACAGCTTGTGAAGGCTTGCAAAGCCAAGGCAGTATTAACCCCAAACACACACTGCAGCAGCTCCACCAGCCCTGCACGATACAAGTTGACAGTATTCAGCATGAAATGCCAATCAATTAAAAAATAATAAAGAAAGGAAAGCACCACATGTTCAGAAACCAAAGAATAACAACGAAGGGGAAAGTAAGTGGCAAACGGAGCACAACAAATCCTCATACTGATGCCGAGAAGAGGGATGCAGGTGGGACACCATCAAAGAAACCCCCTGCACACAGTAAAGATGGCAATAAAGATGCATCACAAAGCTCAGATGCAAAGAGCAGAGGAAAAAAGTCGAACCAGCAAAGTAGGTCACCGGGCCAATCTTCTGATAGAGGAAAAGCTGCAGAAAAAACATCTGGGTTTGGACACCGGACAAACGGTACCTAAAACCAAGGCAGTTAAAACCAAAACCAGTGAGCCAAGGAGGAGACAACCCCCCCCCATCCCAATGGCTCAGTCCAGCCAAAAAACATCCATCGTGAAGGCCTCATGAATAGGAAAAAGATTTCAAGTCAATACAAAGAGGTCCATGTCCAAGTACCTGAATGTCTCACAAAGCCAGAGGAAGGAGGCAGCAACAACAGACCAATCTAAGGAAATGGGGGAAAACCAGGACAGACTATCGATGAGAATGTAGGACACACACATTGGATACAAATGGTAGAGAGAGCCAAAACTCCCGAGAACCAAGCAGACACAAGGCGACTAGCTCTAAAGAGGCAGGGACTAAAGCAACCCCCTCCCCTTCCCTCCCCCTAGGTGAGACAGTGAACCACAGGGGGAGGGGGGGGCACAGTCCGAAGAAGTTGAAATATGGAGTATATGAAGTATTTGAAGTACTGCAATTCCAAATGCCCAGCAGAATTTGAATCCACACAGCCATAAGCTACCAAACTGTATTGAGAGCCTAATGAAGGAGAGGAGACCAACAACCCTGGCTGGCTTAATGAGTGCTAACCACAAAGCCCCAGCCAAGAGCCAAGGTGTCTGTACAGACATCGAGTGAGGACGGAGGAAGGCACCAGAGAACCGAAAATTGGAATATGCAGCAATTGTATGGTGCCCAAATCTCAAGGATATAAACTAGAAAAGGTGCAACGGCATGCTTCAAAATGGCTTCCGGAGCTGAAAAACAAGAGTTACAAGGAGAAACTAGAGGTGTTAAACATGCCAGCACTAGAAGATAGAAGGGAAAATAGGTGATATGATCACCACTTACAAAATACAAACAAGAATCAACCAAATAGACAAAGAGGAATTCCTGAAACCAGCAACTTCATGAACAATAGGGGACAAATTCAAGCTGAGGAAACAAAGGTGCCGAAAATATATTAGAAAGTTTTGTTTTGCAAACAGAGTGATAGACTGTTGGAACTAGCTAAGTGAGAAGGTGGTGGAAGCCAAAACCGTCAGTAGTTTCAAAGCGTTATACGACAAAAAGTACAGGGAAGACAGGACACCATGAGAACAGCTTTCATCCTGTAACTACACTTAGGTAATTACACACCGGTATGCTTTTAGAACACCACAACTGATGTGATCTAGCATATGGTATGATCTCAGCATATAGTAGCTTCAAGGAGTCACAAGGGACTCTCCCTATAAATATAGCACTTATAATATACTGCTATTATAATGCACTCAAGCTATTTATATATTATTTGTGTTTAAATATATGCAAAGATGTGTAATGCCATTTGCTAGAAGAAAATTCTAAAATATTTGATGACATTGAAAAAGTTCAAATTCTGGATTCAGAAAACTAGAATATTTGTGAATACAGGTTGGGTTCATAATAGTATAGTTCAGATTTTGGATATGCCACAGTACTGTACTGTACTGTATATTTAAATAAATATTCCTTAAGGTTAAGACTCACATAATATTTACTCTGAATTTACTAAGTTTTCCTAGTTGGATAACCAACCATGTACATGAAGACAAATACTACATGATCTAATAACAAGCATTAAATGTAATGAAATACCTTTTCTGTAGAGCACCCAGTAGCTCTCTAAATTTATGCACTGGTTCTATCAAGCCTTAGCTCAATACACCAAGCCTACGAGACCCCATCCATTGCCTACCTGGAGTCAGGACCAAAATTTGGCTAACTATAAGGCAAGGGGAAGAGTGCCAAAAGCTGAAAGAAAATCAGCATTAAATGTAATAAAAAGCCTCTTTCTGGCAAAGCCTCAGTGGCCTCATGAAGCTATCTCAGAGATGACTTCCCCCTACTGAGTCATCAACCACAAGAGTCCTTTTTGACCCACCAGGAATGACAGCCAGAACTTGCGCCCCTCAGAAGGCACAAGGCACTGGAGATTGTCATCATCACCCACACCAAGAAAACATCCAGAAAGTAAGTAAAGCAACACACAAACAATTGCCAGGTTCACGTAAAAAAAAAGCACTGAAACAGCCAAATTACTCTGCAACTGGTCTACCCAGATCCATGACTCACTAGAAACTAGCTCAACTCCCCCCCCCCCTCCCAGTGAAAATGGCAACCAATAGGTTGCCATTTGCAATAGGTTGGAAGTTGAAGCTCCCCAGGAGCTTCAGGGTTCTGCCCTAGCCATGAGTCAGTCCAGAATTAACAAACCACAAATCTACACATCTGGTAGTGGCGTGGGGAATTGGAGAGACACCGAGGCTCTACCAGAAAGAGGTGACTATGCCTCCAAATGCCCACTTGGAGATGGTCAGCCCTAACAATCTCAGTACAGTATGTTGACAAGCCTTTCAAAGTGTCTTATAATGTACAAATAGCAAGACCCCATCAGAGAATATATGATATCTACAAACAACCAGATCACCACCAGACATATCCTGACAAACAAAATAATCACTAAATACAACGACAACAGAAGACTGGACATTGGCGAGGCATTGCACATCAAATAAACCCAGCCAACTATCAACAGCCAGGTAATACCCAGTTTCACACTGCCTACTTCGAGACAAAGACGGAACATCCAATATACATACTGCACCAGCCATTGAAACATAGGAGAGTGGGAAGCTGCAGTGAGCCTACTCACCCATGTGCACTTGACCGCACTCTTGGTTACATATTCGGCTGCTCTATCCAAAATGTATTCACTTGTACTCTGCCTTTGAAAATGAAGACTGGATCAACATAATGCTTCTCTTAACATCTGATCATAATAAAACTGTAAAATAAATTTTGGAGAGATAACTTTCCATCTTTTTTTCTCAAACAAAGAAAAACGTAAGAAATGTAGAGTTCTCAATGTAGATAATATTTATGCTAGGATAATTGATCTCACATTTTCTGTCATACTCAACAATATATACAGTATGTGTAACTACACCCAAGTGTAGTTACAGGATGAAATCTACGCTTGTGATGTTCAGTCTTTCCTGCACTGTGTCTTATAGCTCTTTGAAACTACCGACAGTTTTTGGCCTCCATCAACTTCTCGCCTAACTTGCTCCAACGGTCTACCACTCTGTTTACAAAAGGGAATTTTCTCATACAGTATAGTACATTACTGTATTTCTTCATTAGCTTTGTTTAGTTAGTTTAAATCTATGGCCTTTTGCTCTTGAAGTTCCGGGTCTCAGGAATTCTTCCCTATCAATTTTGTTGATTCCTGTTACTATTTTGTAAGTAGTGATCATATTGCCTCCTTTTCTTCTATCTTCTAGTTTTGGCATATTTAATGTCTCTAACCTCTCCTCATAGCTCTTATCTTTCAGTTCCAGGAGCCATTTAGTTGCATGTGTGCACCTTTTCCAGTTTGTTGATGTGCTTCTTGAGATATGGGCACCACACAACTGCTTGCATATTCCAGTTTTGGTCTAACAAAGGTTGTGAAAAACTGCTTTAGTATTTCACCATCCACATATTTAAAAGCAATTATGAAATTGAAAAGTGTAGCATAGGTTCCTCGCACGATGTTCTTTATGTGGTCCTCAGGTGATAGAAAACTATCTAGAACCACCCCTAGATCTCTTTCTTTATCGGAATTCTTTCAAGATTTTTCACATAATTTATAGTTTGTGTGGAGTCAATTTTCTCCTACTCCACATTCCATAACATGGCATTTATTCACATTAAATTCCATTTGCCAAGTGGTGCTCCATACACTTATTTTGTCCAGGTCTTCTTGAAGGGCATAACAATCGTCTAAGTTTCTTATCTTCCCTATTATCTTAGCATCATTAGCAAACATGTTCATAGGATTCTGTATTCTTTCTAGTTCGTTTATGTACACAATGAACTTTACCGGTGCAAGAACTGAACCCTGTGGTACTCCAGTTGTGACATTTCTCCAGTCTGATACACTTCTTCTGATTACTGCCCTCATTTTTCTGTTGGTTAGAAAATTTGTCACCCATATTAGAAGCCTCCTTGTCACTCCTCTAGTATGTTCCAGTTTCCAGAATAACCTCTTATGTGGAACTCTGTCAAAAGCCTTTTTTAGGTCCAGATAAATAAAGTCAACCCAACCATCTCTTTCCTGTAAAATCTCAGGGGCTCTAGCATAGAAACTAACTAAATTCATTACACAGGATCTTCCAGATCGAAAACCATACTGTGTGTGCGTTACTATACAATTTTTTGCCAAGTGTTGTACCTACTGTATTTGGTTTTGATTATTTTTCCAATATTTTGACTACTACACTTGTCAATGATACTCTCTGTAATTAGGGGAGGTCTTCCCTGTTGCCACTTTTGTAGATTGGAACTATGTTAGCCTTTTTCCATATACAGTATCTGCCAGGACTCCTGTACACAGAGATGCCTGAAAAACCAATTCAAGTGGAATGCTGAGCTCAGATGAGCATTCTCTCAGAACTAATGGTGAAACTCCATCCGGACAAAGTGCTTTGTTCTTACCTAGCTCATTGAGCATTTTTTCTACTTCGTCTCTAGGCACCTCTATGCACACTATGGTGTTCTCTGGAATTCTTATTGTGTCAGGTTCTCTGTATCCAGACTGAACAAAATAACAGGGTGATGAAGAAGTTAAAAAGAGAGCCTCTGTTGATTACCAAATTTTATCAGACACAATAATGTATACAGAGTCACAAATTGGATGAATTCAGTTAACACTACTCTAGAACACTCCAAGCAAAGGGTATAAAGCAGCTACTCTCACTCTCACACAGAGCCAAACACAACTCTCATTAGCATACAACAAGCTGCTCACTCCCCAACAACAAGCTTAGCATTGACAAGAAGTCCCAAGAACGAGGCTACCCAGAGGCACAGTTGCTCAAAAGGCATCAACCCACAAAGTAATGGGTAGAGTTTAGTAACCTGAATCCATTTCAAAATTGGTGGGCAAAGGAAAATGCAAGTGCTGGCACTATTGAAGATAACTTTGACACCAAAGTTGAAGTGAACTAGCCAGCGAGAAACAAAGTGGTTGGTATCAACATAATTGTAACTAGCTCCTGAGGGCACAAAAACCACAGCTCGAGAATCACTAGTAATGGTTCCATCAGGAGAGCTGCTAAAGGAGTGATATAAGGCCCGTTAGTGAGAAAGAAGGTTGACTGAACAGGACCTTGGGTGACCTGGGTTACGACCTGATGGCTGTCGGTGAAGTTGGAGCAAGAATGTTTACCCATTCCCAACTATCGTTCACTGTTTTTTAAATTTCATTCTTTTACTAATGAATAGTTGTTTGCACTGGACTTTCTGAATGGTTCTCCTTGGTTGTGGGTCACTTATGTATCTCCTCATGATCCCCCACCTATTTGATGGAACAATCTTCAGATCATGGTTCCCAATAGTCTATGCTAGACTCCGGAGCCCAATATAGAAGGGTCCCCTTGTCATACTAGTGACAAAAGCTTATGCCAGGGACCTACTGAGAAAACTATCACAAAAAAAAATGCTCCTGATCTCTAAATTTTTATATTAAAGAAAGCAAAACTATGAAGAAAGCTGTATGAGAAAGGAGTCCTGAACCAGATCTAGAAATTGTTCTAACTCTGCTTGTGATGTTAGATTTACTCAATCTATGGTCTCATGGTTAAAATCCCCCATTATTAGGGTTTGGGTTTCTCATGCCACTTTGATCACGTTATGAAGATCAGCAACATCCTCTGCTGCTGCTGTTTTTGGCCTGTAGCATACTCCCACTGTCATTGTGTTACCATCTTGAGTTAGAATATTGCACTCTGAGGATCCCATGGTATTTAGTTCCTCATTATTGGTTGCATCCAGATCCTCTTTCATGTATAGCCTCACCCCACCTGCTCTTGTTCTGTCCTTTCTGAAAGGTGGGTGGTATCCCTGGACATGAAATTCACTTTCTATAATGTCCTCTCGTCCCCATGATTCACTGATGCCAATGATGCCGGGATTTTCAGCCTCAGCATATGCACATAATGAGTTAAGTTTGTTTACAAGGCTTCTGGCATTTGTGTAGAAACAGGTTCGTAGTATGGCTGCCCTGCACATTCAGATACTGGATGAAGATGTGCCAGACATGGTCCTCATATTTTTAATAAGGTCCTAAAATAAAAGTGAGGGACTGTGGATTTTTTTTTTAGATGGGGGATGATTACTGGAGGCTTGAGGAAGCATATGTGAGCCCCATGTATGTGTAGGACTTTTAAATCATATGCAGTACCCTAATACTTCACCTGATGGGATGTGCAGTTTGAACATATTTAGCTACCCCATCACCTGATGGGATGCACAGCCAAAGGGTCAATATAAAACCAAATAAATCAGCCTATGCAAAAAAAAAAATTGGTATAAAAAAACAAAAACTGAGTGAGACTGAAATGTGGTATTAAATTTCCTACAAAAGACTGTGACGTCAGCCCTCCAATGTGTAACTAACAAATGTACAATAAGCATACTTTAGAGGAAACTAGATAACTTGATAGACTTACAAGACAATCTCTTAGCTTACTGTACACTGCATGATCTGTACCAACCCTTAACATTCTTCCCAAGTGCTTCTCGTCCATATGAAGGCAACTCTCAAACTAAGCATGCTTAGGAACAACAATGATAACTTACCCCTAAATTTCTTCGGGGGGTTGCTGAGGTCACCTGCTTCAGGGCTCACCACACAACGGGCATCCACAAGTCTGGAAACATAATGTGTACACTGTATATATATACTGTATATGTAATACTAATATATAGTAATAATGTATAATAATAATATATAATACAGTGGAACCACAATTAACAAATTTAATCCGTTCCGGCACCTAGCTTGTCGATGTGAAACGCTCGTCTTTCAAAACGAATTTCCCTATTTAAAATAATGGAAATAAAATTAATTCGTTCCACCACTGAAAAACATTGATATGACATTCAATTTTTTAAATAATGGAGCAGCCTACTTGAACATACAATACACTGAACGATCCTTGATGATATTTGTCTTGTTTCAATTTTCTTCAATTTTTGTTTTCAATTTTTTTTAAAATGGAGCAGCCTACCTGACAATCACTGAACGAACCTTTATGACTTTTTCCTTTTTTTTCAAATTTTCAATTTTTTTATTTTTTATTTTTTTGAAAATGTAGCAGCCTACCTGACAATCACTGAACGAACCTTTATGACTTTTTCCTTTTTTTTTTTCAAATTTTCAATTTTTTTATTTTTTATTTTTTTGAAAATGTAGCAGCCTACCTGACATTCACTAAACGAACCTTTCTGACATTTGTTCTTTTTTCAAATGTTTTCGTTTTTTTCTAATTTTCTCTAAAATTAAAAAATCGATGATTTGCAACATTACAGCAGTCACCCCTTTACATCCCGGCATCATTAGCATCTTTAAAACAAAAAACAGTTATTTGCATCGTCGGAGGTGTCCGAGAATTTGTGAGAACCAGGGGGAACATTAGGAATCACCAAGTGCTTTTCTCATTAATCAAGTGAAAGCTCGCCAATAAAGACAAATTTTCGTTGAGTGGCGCGCTCATTATTTGAAATGCTCGTAGATTGAGGTGCTCATCACTCGAGGTTCCACTGTATATAATAATAATAATAATAATAATAATAATAATAATAATAATAATAATAATAATTTGCAAGAAGGTACAATGGGTTGGTGAGATTACATAAGATTAGTATTTTTACAGTCATGCAAGCCACTACTGTAACACGCATAGTGTTTTGGGCCGGTCCCTCAGTCTAACATATCTGGTAAGATGAAAGGGTACATTGTGGCAAGAGTTTTATGTCAACAAATAACATAAGTTGACAGCGGTGATTACACTGGTAAGGATATATATCTTATGCACTAATATTGGGGTAGTGGGTAGTAAGAGATTCAGTGTAAGTTTGAAGCACAGGGTAGGAAACTATGAGGAGGAAATTAGGTAAATTTTGGTGTTACTTTTGAAAAGGGAATGGGTTGGACAACTTTTTAATTCTTCAGGGAGTGAGTTCCAAAGATTGGGCCCTTTTATTTGCATGGAGTGTTTGCACAGATTTAGTCTGACTCTGGGGATATCAGATATTTATTTCTAGTGTGGTATTCATGGGTTCTATTACACCTCTATTAAGAGGTTGTTCTGGAAACTGGAACATATTGGAGGGGTGACAGGTAAGCTTCTAACATGGATGAAAAATTTCCCGATAGAAAAATGAGGGCTGTAATCAGAGGCAATGTATCAGATTGGAGGAATGTCACAAGCGAAGTACCACAGGGTTCAGTTCTTGCACCAGTATTGTTCATTGTCTACATAAACGATCTACCAGATGGAATACAGAATTATATGAACATGTTTGCTGATGATGCTAAGATAATAGGGAAGATAAGAAACCTAGATGATTGTCATACCCTTCAAGAAGATCTGGACAAAGTAAGTATATGGAGCACCACATGGCAAATGGAATTTAATGTGAATAAATGCTGTTATGGAATGTGGAATTGGAGAACTTAGACCTCACACAACCTATAAATTATGTGAGAAATCTTTAAAGAATTCTGATAAAGAAAGAGATCTAGGGAGGGTTCCAGATAGAAAACTGTCACCTGAGAACCACATTAAGAACATTGTGTGAGGAGCCTATGCTACATTTTCTAACTTCAGAATTGCTTTTAAATACATGGATGGCGAAATACTAGTACCAAAGAAATTGTTCACGACTTTTGTTAGCCCAAGCTAGAATATGCAGCGGTTGTGTGGTGCCCATATCGTAAGAAGCACATCAACAAACTGGAAAAGGTGCAAAGACATGCCACTAAGTGGCTCCCAGAACTGAAGGACAAGAGCTACGAGGAGAGGTTAGAGGCATTAAGTATGCAAAAACCTGAAGATAGAAGAAAAAGAGGCAATATGATCACTATGTTGAAAATAATAATGGGATTCTATAAAATTGATAGGGAAGAATTCCTGAGACCCAGAACTTCAAGAACAAGAGGTCATAGATTTAAACTAACGAAACAAAGCTGCCGAAGAAATATAAAAAAATTCACTTTTGTAAACAGAGTGATAGATGGTTGGGAAATCATTGATGTATATAAGAACTAAGAGAGGTGTCAAGATGCGTGACCCCCTTATATCCTTTAAATAAGCAATGCAATGGGGTTGACACCCATCCAACTTGTCACCAATATATAGTACAACAAATAATAATGGAGGGTAAGACAAAGGAACATATACTGTATACAGCATGGAACAATGAAATTGCTAGTCCCCATGGCATAGTCCCCCATTCTCTGTGGAGATTGTCTGGTTTGCTGACTCTACAACTCCTGACCCTCCCCCGTCCCCCCCTACCATTCCCCACCCCCCCGTCCTCTCATCCTCCCAACCATTCCCCACTCCCCCCTCCCCCCCTACCATTCCCCCCCCGTCCCCCCCCCATTCCCCACTCCCCCGTCCTCTCGTCCTCCCAACCATCCCCCACTCCCCTGTCCCCCCCACCATTCCCCACTCCCCCATCCCCTCATCCTCCCCACCCCCTCATCCCCCCACTCCCCCACTCCCCCCCCCCCCCCCATCCCCCTCCCCTCGTCCTCCTGACCCTCTTCCGTCCTCCACACCATTCCCCACTCCCCTGTCTCCCAAACATTCCCCCCCTCCATCCCCTCGTCCTCCCCACCAATCCCCCCTCCCCATCCCCTTGTCCTCTCCATCATTCATCCCCTCCCCTGTCCCCTCACCCTCCCCCCCATCCCCCCCCCCATTCTCCCCTTCTCCCATCCCCACCATTCTCCCCTTCTCCCATCTTCCCCACCATCCCCACTCCCCCATCCCCTCTTCCTCCCACCAACCCTCACTCCCATCCCATGTCCCCCTTCCCCCCCCACTCCCTCATCCCCTACTTCCCTATCCCCTCATCCTCCCCACCATCCCCTACTCCCATGTCCCCCTCATCATTATCCCCTCCCCTCCATCCCCCATCCCCCCCCCTCTATTTCCACACTCCCTCATCTCCTCCCCCCCCCCACCATTCCCCCACTCCCTCATCCCATCATCCTCCTCACCATCCCCCACTCCCCCATCCCCTTGTCCTCCCCAACTTTCAGAGATTTCCCTAACATGAAAAACACGTTTAAAAAAAAAACAGCATTGAATGTAATGAATCGCCATTTTCTGAATGAGTCCCGGAGGCTCCCTGGAGCTATCCATGCTGAATGGATATGTATAACTTTCTGGCATCAGTCAATGTGCATGGAGTTCTTGCCTACTGGGGACTATGAGCCAGAACCTGGCCCCTCCTCAAGAGAGGCACGAGGAGCAATGGCCTAATCCTAAGAAGCCAGTATGAGGCTATGTTTAGCACACCAATAAACAACATGAAAGTTGATGACCCAGACAGCTTCTTTATGAATGACATTCAAGCTGCAGATAATATAACGGATATTACCACAAACTCGGAAGACTTTGAAAGAGAAATTGACAATATGCCTATGCACTCAGCTCCTGGGCCTGACTCATGGAATTCAATATTCATAAAGAAATGTAAAGTACCAGTAGCGAGAGCACTCAGCGTAATATGGAGAAAGAGCCTGGATACAGGGGAGATACCAGCAGCACTTAAATCTGCAGATATAGCTCCGTTGCACAAGGGGGGGAAGTAAAGCCTTGCCAAAAAATTATAGGCCAGTTGCACTAACATCACACATAATAAAAGTGTTTGAAAGAGTGATTAGGAATCAAATTTCTAGTTTTATGGAAAACAATGAATTGCACAATCCAGGACAACATGGATTTAGAACGGGAAGATCCTGTCTGTCACAGTTACTCAACCACTATGACAAAATCACAGAAGCCCTAGAAGAAAAGCAAAATGCAGATGTTGTATACACAGACTTTGCAAAGGCGTTCGACAAATGTGACCATGGGGTGATAGCTCACAAAATGAGGTCAATGGGAATAACTGGAAAAGTAGGACGCTGGATACTCAATTTCCTGTCAAACAGAACACAAAGAGTAACAGTCAATCAGATAAAATCGAGTCCAAGCGATGTTAAAATCTCTGTACCTCAAGGTACAGTCCTTGCACCGCTACTGTTCCTTATTCTCATATCTGATATAGACAAAAATACACGCCACAGCTTCGTGTCGTCCTTTGCAGATGACACAAACATCAGCATGAAAATTACCTCTGCTGAAGACATTGAAACACTACAAGCAGATGTCAACAAAGTTTTTCGATTAGGCAGCAGAAAATAACATGATGTTTAACAGTGATAAATTTCAGGTACTCAGGTACGGCAAAAATGAGGATCTGAAACATAATACAGGGTACAAAACACAATCGAATCTTCCCATAGTAGAAAAACAGCATGTCAAGGATTTGGGAATAATGATGTCCGACGATCTAACATTTAGGGAGCATAACCAAGCAAATATCGCGTCAGCCAGAAAAATGATCGGATAGATTACGAGAACTTTCAAATCCAGGGATCCCATCACAATGGTTGTACTCTTTAAGTCACTTGTGTTGTCCCGTCTCGAGTACTGCTCAGTACTCACTTCCCCCTTCAGAGCAGGAGAGATTGCTGAAATAGAGGGAATACAGAGAACATATACGGCACGCATAGACGAGATAAAACACCTAACTTATTGGGATCGTCTCAAAGCTTTCCAAATGTACTCTCTAGAAAGGAGATGAGAGA